GGTAAGAAAATAAACCATTTCTAACACAATTCTATATTGATATTCTTGTAATGGTTAGAAAATACATAAAAAAACACCATTACAAACTTAATCTCAATTTTACTATCTATTTTCAGAAATTTACTTGTGACGTCTTTTTTTGTGGCGTTGATACATTCGTTTGACGCACAAACCATAATTTTATTGTGGTTTTCATTGGAGGTGTCCGTTGTTTTTCTTTGGTTTACATGTTGTAGTGTACTATTATATTGTTTATTTATGTATTTCTCTGTCCTGAGTATTCTTGCTTGTATTTGTACTGCATTCCTCTCACGTAATGTTTTCATTTTAGCTGTATTTTTTACATTGCCATATAAGCGGGAGGTTTGGCTGGTCATAAAACTAAGTTCAACCCACCATGTTTTCTTAAAATATCCTGTACCAAGTCAGGAATATTGCAGTAGTTATCAAATAGTCCGTTTCTATGTATATTGCCGTTTGTTTTTGTAGCAGTTCAGTGTATCTGTTGTTTCGTTGTTTTTCTCTTATAGTTGATATGTTTCCCTCGGTGTTGGTTTGTGACCCGGATTTGTTTCAGTTAAATCGATCTATAACTATTGAACAGCGGTATACTACTATTGCCTTTATTTAACGTATGTTGTATAAAGCTTGTTTATTAGATACGCAACTGTACAAGCTTATAAATTTAAATTAGTCCATAAAAAAAAATAACCAAAAAAAAACATAAAAAATCTTACATTTAAAGAATGCTAATTCAAAGCAATTCATAGGTGTGTAATAAAGTTTATGTCGTTTGGATATTAGATTTCCAATATCGTAATATATGTTTATCTCTTTTTTTAATTATACTTTTGATCAATTTAAATGTAAAATTGCTTTTATTAATTGATTTTATTTACCCTCACATTTTATTGATAATGAGAACTCTGATTTACAGTTACAAATACGACACGAATGGTTTTCTTTATTATTTTTGCGCATTTCATAACTTATATCAGTTTACTGGAATTTGTGCTTCATTAGTGAGTAATCCATAATAACTTGAAGACGATTGAGTGAATTAATTGATAAGGAGAGCAACTGGATAGGTGTTTTATTCATAATTCTAAACAGCATACTTTAGATATCTATGGAATTTCATCAGATTCATGCATTCGTAAGTGAGTGAATGAGCAAGTGACAATTGGATGGCTGTTGTTTTCTGTTGCACTTCTATGTGATTTCGTATGCTTAAATTTATTTTCAAAAAATATTTATGTCTCAAACGACATGTAAGGACTGTTATAGAAACCTCAGTGGTTGCCAATACTATTCTAAAATGTATACACTAAGTTTTATTTCTTAAATCGCAGTGAACTAAAACAAATATTTAACTGACTTTTCAATAATTAAAAAAAACAGAAACCTTTCGGTTTCATGGTTTCTTTTTAAAGAATCAAATCTTATCCATCGTATCTGTATTATATAAACTACTAATGCTTACATTTAATCTTATTTATTGACTGGCTTCCGGGTCACACAAATATCCTTATATGATATGTATCCTACATTTTATCAATCTGTATCTATCAATGATAATAATATGTTTTTAGTGTAAAATATATTGAACATTACCATTGTTTTGTTTTAGGCATTTGTTCAGCAATCAAATATCTACAATACAGCAAGGAGCATTTCAAGACCTACCAGCGCTAATCGATCTGTATGTATACATTGTTACAATATTTTTGTCACGAAGCAAATGATAACAAAATCTACGGTTAATCAGTAGCAGAGTATGATTACTAATACCAACGATTACGAATCTATGAAGTTCTGCCGTCGTAAAGAGTAATCATTGGTGACTTGATAGGATAACTTAATACTCTCAAAGAAAATATTTATTCTTAGAAACAAAGTGATAGGTTCAGTGATAAATTCTGCAAATTGTCATCGACGTCCATTTATGTATACACTGCAGATTTTTATATGGTAAAACTCATGTCTAAGAAGAACGTCTAAATCTTCAGGATATTCTGGAAAATATTTCGATAAAGATAACATGTTTGTGTTATTGTCTTTATAGCAAAGAGTTAATGTTATTTTATTCTTTAAAAAGGAAAATAAGTTCGGTAACGCATTAAACGACATAAGAATTTGTACAGAAAAACAGTTATCAATAGGACAAAATGACATAAAAGTTAACAACTATAGGTCATCGTTTGTCAATCAACAATGAGCAAAAACCATACCGAAGAGTTAGCTATTAAAGACTCCAAAATAACAATTGTAACACAATTCATACAAGAATACTAACGGCCTGATTTTTATACAATACAATGAACGAAAAACAAATATGATATACAGAAACAAACGACAACCACTGAATTACAGGTTCCTGACTTTGGAATCATGCATACAGAATGTGGTGGGGTTAAAGTAGTTTTCTGGCGCCTAACCTGGGACAATGGTGTTATAGTACAACATGAGAGCAAACTATAAAAATGGGTTGAAAAGGGCTTAACTCATCAGATTGAAAACGTCTATCAAAAACACAGACCTGACATGACAGGGTATTTACACATTCCAACAACATGCGGATCCCATGAGAACGATAAAAAGTTATTTGATCTATATATCTCATGATATTGAGATATACAGTTAAATGTACAGTAGATTCTGCTTTTTTAATATTTTCTTATGCTTTGATAACATGAACGATCACCATATCAACTGAACATACTATTTTTCTACAGCATTTCATTGGCTAGTATAAAAGAAATGATACTCCTTCCTCGGCTATTGTACATATACACTGTAAACGATTTTCCACTCATGTCAGCTGATTCACAAATCTTTTCGTCCAAGTCATAACGTTAAGGATTGATCAATATTAAACCGGACCAAAAAGATAAAATCGATTCGATATTTCTTTTGTAGTATATCATCATACTCGTCCCAATTGCATGAGGTCGTGTAATTTAACCCGACAGATTAATACGGCCAACTTTACAAGTGGTATACATTGTTTGGAAATCAACCACTGATTGTTACAATCAAGACTAGTGTAAATAAATTTGCTGAAATACGTCTTCTATGTAGTGTTAGTCTGAACTAGGACGTCACTATACGACTTGTTGTATAGTTCTTGTATCACATGAAGGAAATATATAAATAGCAATTATGACGTTCTCGTCTTATAAGATATTTTACAGAATGGTACATATGCTTAAATTCATCCATTTAAACGCACGAGTATGGTGTACCACATGTGCCACACGTGCAACTAAAGGTTGATGTTGTTTTGTGTTACTTGTGTACCTCAGATATAGTGAAAATCATTTCTACTATCAGGAAAATTTCGCTGACTGAATATAAACAGTAAATAGGCAAGCAGCATTTGACATGTTTTCCATTATTCATAATGCAACCACCACACTCCGTTTGAGCGGAATGAACCTTCACTATATAAAATATTAAATCATTAGATATTCTAATAACAATTTATATTTCAAACGTAAAACTATGTATCTGGTTAATTAATTTCGAATTTTTAGCTTTATTAGTAAGTTATACGCGGTAACTTAAAGGTGATAGAGTGAATTCATTGATAGTGACGGCAACCGGATACTTAATATTTTTTTTTATTCATAATTCTATACAGCACACTTTAAATGTTGACGGAAAGCACTGTGTCAAGATTCATGCATTCATAAGTGAGTGAATGACCTAGTGATGATTGAATGGATGCTGATGTTATATGTCAGTTTTTATCCATTCGTTTTATGTGTTTGAGCTTTTGATTTTGCCATTTGATTAAGGACTTTCCTTTTTGAATTTTCCTCGGAGTTCAGTATTTTTGTGATTTTACTTTCAACTGCACTGGTTAGAAATTTTTTCTAAAGGTTTTGATAACTCAAACGACATATAAGGACATTAATAGACACCTCAGGGATTGCCGAGAATAATTTGAAATGTATACATTTAAACAAATTCTTCAATCAAAATCACCTATAAACAAATATTTAGCTAACTTGTCAATGATAAAAAACCAGAAACGCTTATATATACATATGTTTATATATTATATATACATGCCTACATTCAATCTGGTTTATTGACTGGCGTTAGGGTAACACCAATATTTTAGAAATCTATATTTATCAATGTTAGTAAACAATATCTTTAGTGTAAAATATACTTAACATTACTATTATTTTGTTTCAGGCATTTGTACAGTAATCAAATAACTACAATACAGCAAGGAACATTTCAAGACCTACCAGCTCTATACGAATTGTATGTGTACATTGTTACAATAGTTTATCAAGAAGCAAATGATAACAAAATCTATGGTTAATCTTTGGCAGAGTATTTTTACTATTATCAATGATTACGATATTTTCAAGTTCTGGCGTTGACCATTGGTGACAAAGATTGATTTATTTACACTTGTCAATTCCAGCCGTAGAATTGTCTGTTAAATATGTTAATTCTTGGTATGTTTTATCATTTTTCATGCTGATATGTACAAACTTTTTACGGAAATAATATAATGATCAAGTAAATTATAAGAAAACAATCTGTCAATGCCACTTGGTTGAAAATTTGTAAACTACTGTTGCCTATACGGTAAGATGTTAATCGACTTGCGTCTAATTCCCTATATAATATTTATCAAAATTTTATGAATCGACATCTATCTATGGTGAAAAAAAAATGTTCAATGTAAAAGAGAGGCGAAGGATACCAACGGGACATTCAAACTCATAAGTCGAAAATAAATTGACAACGCCATGGTCGATAAAGAAAAAGACAAACAGACAAATACAGTACACAAAACATAACATAAAAAACCAAAGACTTAGCAACATGAACCCCATCAAAACTGGGGGTAATATCAGGTGCTTCAGAAGGGTAAACATATCTTGTTAATAATCATAAAAAATATCAATGTTTTGTTTCAGATATTTATACAGCAATAAAATAACTACAATACAGCAAGGATCATTTCTAGACTTACCAGCACTAGGCCGCCTGTATGTATACATAATTACAATATTTTATCAAAAAGCAATTGAGGAAAAAATGTAAAGTAATTTTCTGTCGTCGAATAGTGTGACCATTTGTGAACCTGTTCGGTTTGAATTGACTGGATTTACTGATAATCTTTTATTAAATTATAACTCTAAGAAACGATTTGATAGTTGCGAATTTTTAAGTAGTCGCCTTTCAAATGATTAATGAGTTCTGCAAATTGACATCGATTAACCAAATGGTTACACTGCAGATTTCATAATGGTAACAAACATTTATTAACAGAACGTATTAACTTTAAATATAGTTCTATAAAAAAGTGCGATAGAGATAACATGTTCTTTTTCTTTTCTAAAAATAAGAGGGATATTTTTGTTAAATGTTTTTCAAAAAGGTAATTACTATCTGTAATGGATTAGCCAACATGAACTTTGGAAAAGAACACTAACTATTGAGACAAATATATGTCCTTGGTGTTTTTTTTTTTAGATAATAACAGCAATTAACTAAACGCATATAAGAAAGAAGAGTTCCATTCTACACCTTTAAATAAAAACTATTAACCGCTGTTTTCAACTACCAGTATGTAATAAATAACAATTGCCACTATATATAATGTTGCAATCATAATGTAGCATTTTCCGATAAAAAATTGTTGGCAAGATTTTCTATTTTGTAAAAGATTAACATAATTTTGTAAATAAATTTCATAACAACACTGAAATGTTTAATGACAACATTTCGTTTACTTTGAAAATATTTATTAAATGGTCCATGACGCCTTTAACTGATATATTGGCAAACATAAATGTGTGTATGTAGGAGAAATATTTTAGTATGTCATCTCTTGGTTGATGACCATATTCGATTTCTGAGTGATAAAAGGTCGAAACTTGGTAGAGACTTGTTTAAACCTCAGTTATTATCTTGTGTTTGAATACTAATCACGGCACATAAATGTATCTTTAACAAAATGACTTCGTCATTTTCAAGATAAAACCAAAATGTGTCTTCTTATCTCAAGAATAATAGAGTACATGTATATCGTCTTGGGTTGTATATAGATTTCGGAAATTAAGTAGCGTTGTGCATATAAATATTTTATGTTCGTTTGAACATGACCAAAAATTACGTATATATAGCAGTGATATTCTAATTTCTGTAATTGCGTTCCAATGTGCCCGAATCAAAGTGAACATTTTGTTTTCAAAAAGACTCCCTTTATCTCATTTCATTGTATTTTTTAGAATTAAAAACAATATGCCAAAGACATATACGATTTAAAGCGTTAGGCATTTAGTTTATTGTGAATATCAAAATATTCTATTAACATACAGTGTAATATTAGCTGGTGTTTATTGTGGAAAATATAGAAAGGAAATTTGTATACATGTTGTCTGCTCTATGGTCGGATTGTTGTCTCTTTGACACATTCCCCATTTCCATTCTCAATTTTATTTTTTACAGAGTTTGTCTTAAGTGCCGTGTGGAGACAGTAGAGTGCCTCCCCGTGCTTCAGGTTTATGCTCTTATAATATACTAGATTATGGAGTGTGTGTCCAAGCGAGAACCTCTCTATGTTCATTACTTTAGGAATGTTTATCAGAAAGTAGTATTTCAACATTCAGCCCCATTCTTCTATTTAGTCAGACGTCAGTCGCTACCCTGATATACCCTATCCTTTGTTTTTTTTTCGGGTAATTTATGACGGATAGCGTTTGACGTCTTTAGTCATAGTTTTATCATGTTCACATTATTCAATTTATTGTGTGCTGGTTCATATTCTGGAAGCCAGTCTGCTCCTTTCTGATTAAATTCACATAACAAAAACAAATATGAAGCTTAGAAATGGAAAAATATTAAATACTAAACTCGTTCAAAGAGTATCTACACGTCTCAATCTTCAAAATCGCTTATCTAAAAATACTACCATCGCAAACATTTTTAACAATAAAAATCGTGGTTACCCTTCTATCGATAAGTGTCATGCCAAAAAATTACTTACATGTCCCCGGCTTTCCACCAACAATACGGTAAGGTCCACGTTTAATGGTCGCACATTTTCTTTATATTTTGAAACTGATATAACTTGAAAAACAAACAGTATTATTTATTTACTCACATGAAACAAACCGGGATGCGGTATTCAGTACGTAGGTGAAACTGGACGATATTTATCTAAACGCACGCAAGAACACCTGTATCGTTTTAAAAGACCAAATAAATTCAAAAGTATCATTTATCAACATCTTAAAAAGTACAATCATCCTATTAAATAGTTAACAGTTCAACCTTAAGAAGTAGTCAATTAGCAGCCTGGTGAATCTCATTCAAAGTTTGTACGATCACGGAAAATAATTAATTTAATTTGTCTGTTTGTTTTTTTATTTTTGGCCATGGCGTTGTCAGTTTGTTTTCGATCTATGAGTTTGACTGTCCCTCTGATATCTTTCGTCCCACTTTTACAGACAGTCTACCCTCTCGGTCTTAATGATAATATCATGGGAATTGGTAATATATCAAGAACCAATTTTGTTAACATTTGGATATAGTTTCTAAAACTGTTCGTAAAAACCATTCTCATGGGCGTAGACAAAATCGCAATCAAAGAAAATTTCGGACCAATTATACAAATATTTCGAACCTAATTTTATTTAAAAAATCAAGGACAGACATTATCTATTGACCAAGCTCTGTTCTTTACCTATAAATAAATTAAATAAAATTTTAGAGGATTGCAACACAATTTCATATTGCAGTCCTAAGTATGAAATCGTTCAAATTATAATGGCATATTGTTATTCTAAATTGTTTCCCAAAATTGATCGCTCTGAAGATCATAAAAAACATTTTATTAAAATAAAGTATGTCAATAAAGGTTTTGATTTTGTAAATATTGCCGGTATTGATAACGACCTTCTGTTAAAGGAGAAATTACTGGATATTTTGATAATACTGAACTCCCTCTTATTTGTTATATTTACAAGAAATCTACCCGGAAATTTGTGTTTAATTATAGCCAAGTCTGTGAAGATGTAAATATCAGTGAAAATACACCTACGTAATGTAATTGTAGTAATTCCAAATACACTTATGGTCCCATTTTCCATGTTATAACAGGAGACCTTAACATCGTTCGCGACCGAGAGTTAAAATCATTCCTCAGTAAAGGACGTAAATATCGTCCCCCGTCAGTTATTAATTGGAATGAGTGTCGTAATATCATCCACGACTCACTTTGTGCTCACTATTTGAAATGGATAAAACGGAAAAAAGCTGACAAAAAATCTTTGGACTCTTTTTTTAATTCAGTAATGAAGATAGTTGATATACGTATACAACATTTTAAAGAACATTTCACTCTTAACAACAACCAAAAAAATCCTATTTCTCGTATCAAACATAAACTAAAAGACCTAGCCAAGGAATTTGTTTTTGTCCCGGCTGATAAAGCTGCTAATAATATCATCATAGTTTGACGTAAATTTTACGTTGAGGTTCTGCAAAAGGAAATCACGAATTCACCAACATTCCAATTGACTTCATTTTCAGAAAAGGATATCTGTAACACACATAAACTATTAGCTACTTCTTTACAAGCAGAACCATATACAATGAAAGTCCCAACTATGTACTGGCTTCCGAAGCTACAAAAATCACCTTACAAATATAGATTTATTTCGTCTTCAAGTCATTAGTCCACTACTAAATTGTCTATTCTACTTACTAGTACACTTGGTACAATCAAAAACCTGATAATAAATTGTTCAAATAAGGCCTTTGAAAATAGTGGAATTTATTACTTTTGGAGTGTCAAAAACTCGTTGGAAGTACTTGATAAATTGCATGCATATATTGGTGATTTTGAATCTGTTCAAAGTTTTGATTTTTCTACCCTATATACCACTTTGCCTCATATTCTTATTAAGAAAAAAATCACACACCTATTAAATGGGCATTTAAAAAGTCGGAATGCGAATACATATGTTTAAACTCTTTTAGGTCATTTTTTAGTAGCAACAAACAAAAGAACTTTGTCGATTGGACATGCTTTGATACTATATCTGCCCTTGAATTTTTACTTGATAACATTTTTGTTCGCTTTGGAGATTCCGTATATCGTCAAGTTATCGGAATTCCAACGGGGACTCACTGTGCACCACTTATTGCGGACCTGTTTTTGTATTGTTATGAGTTACAATTTAAAACTAAAATCGGCAAAGACCCATCGAAACAACATCTGATACAAAACTTTAACAATACTTTTAGATATTTGGATGATATATTGGCTCTCAATAATGACGACTTCAGTATGTATACTAAAGAAATTTATCCTGTTAAATTTACTTTAAATAAAGCTAATACTAACAATGACCACTGTCCTTTCCTCGATCTTGATATCTATATCATTAACAGGAAATTTAATACAAAAATTTATGATAAAAGAGATGATTTTTCATTTCCTATCGTTAATTATCCATTTTTAGATGGTGACGTTCCCTTGTCACCATCTTATTGTGTTTAAATATCTCAACTTGTACGATTCGCTCGTGTATGTAACAACGTATTAGATTTTAGCGAGAGAAATTTATGTATTACTGAAAAATTATTACACCAGGGTTTTCGATATCATAAACTAGTCAAAATATTTACTAAATTTTATCATCGGTATAAGGACATCATTCGTAAATATAACTCAACATGCAGACATCTTATACGTTCGGGTATTTCACATCTAATGTTTTATGGTAATATTATTTACAAAGAACAAAAATGTCAGTATTCACCTCAAAAGCTAACAAAACCTTGAAACAGACTTATTAAGGAGGGATATAGTTACGATACGGTTGTCAGGTCATTAAAGATTGCATATTTTTGGCTTTAATATTGATTCACTTATAGGGTCTTTGCATCTGAATTAAACACATTTATTCTAATAACATTGCGAATGGAAATGGGGAATGTGTCAAAGAGACAACAACCCGACCATAGATCAGACAACAGCTGCAGGCCACCAATGGGTCTTCAATGCAGCGAGAAACTCTCACAAACCGGAGGCGTCCTTCAGCTGGCCCCTAAACAAATATGTATACTAGTTCAGTGATAATGGACGTCATACTAAACTCCAAATTTTACACAGGAAACTAAAATTAAAAATGATACAAGACTAACAAAGGCCAGAAGCTCCTGACTTGGGACAGGCGCAAAAATGCAGCGGGGTTAAACATGTTTTTTGAGATCTCAACCCTCCCCCTATACCTCTAGCCAATGTAGAAAAAACACACGCACAACAGTACGCACAGTAAAACTCAGTATAAGAGAAGTCCGAGTCTGATGTCAGAATAGGAAACAAAAGAAAATAAACAAAATGACAATAATACATAAATAAGAACAGACTACTAGCAGTTACTGACATGCCAGCTCCAGACCTCAATTAAACTGATTGAAAGATTATGTCTTCATCATATGAATATCAAGCACAATCCCTCCTGTTAGGGGTTTAGTATTATACCGTCATAAAATAAATGAGAAGAACATAACCCGTGTCATGCCAACAACTGGTTTTAGAAGTTGGAAGTACTTGATAAATTGCATGCATATATTGCGCATTTTTGCGCCTGTCCCAGTTCAGGATCCTCTGGCCTTTGTCAGTCTTGTATCATTTTTAATTTTAGTTTCCTGTGTATAATTTGGAGTTTAGAATGACGTCCATTATCACTGAACTAGTATACATATTTGTTAAGGGGCCAGCTGAAGGACGCCTCCGGATGCGGGAGTGTCTCGCTGCATTGAAGACCTATTGGTGTCCTTCAGCTGATGTCTGCTCTATGGTCGGGTTGTTGTCTCTTTGACACATTCCCTATTTCCATTCTCAATTTGATGGTGATATTATAAAATTGTAAGAATTTATAATAACTAAATTATTGTGACAAGATAAGTATGATGACCTGTTAACAGATACTAATAATCAATGCATATGTATTGACCATTAATGAACTACTTATGTTGTTTGTGTTGCTCATACTTTAGTTTTCTGTATGATATATTTTTTCAGATCATTGCAAAAAAATCAATTAACAACAATACAGCAAGGAACATTTCAAGACCTACCATCGCTTAACCTTCTGTATGTATATATTATTATAGCTTTTAACCAGACGCAAATGAAAACAAAATTTAAATGTCAATCAGTTGCAGAATGTTTACTGTAATCAATAATTACGACTTTCTGGAGTTCCGTCGTCAAATACTATAACCATTGGTGACCCTGTTCGTTTGACAGAGTTTAATAATAATTTTGTAAACAATTATTATAAGAAAAGACTAGATAGTCCCATAATCGCGAACGTAATCATCATCGCCCTTTGCACAATCAAAGCGTTTGACAAATTGACACTGCAGATTATATTATTATAACAAACATGTGTTAAAAATACAAAAACATTTTAAGGATATTTCTAGAATATATTGTGAAAAATGATTGTGTTTGGCAACAGGTAAAATCAATCAAGTAAAATACGATACATTTGACTTATTTCAATATCTACTAAAAAAAAGGCGGTAGATACAATTCCATTTGCAATCCACTATGTTTTAATAAGTAGACGAGTAGTTTTTTTTTTACATTTAATTCGAATTTTTTTTAAATCTGCTGTACAGTAAATTTCTGTTTTCAGATGATAACAAAATTAACCGATTAACATTAAACAAGTTGCAAGCGTTTATTAAATTGCATTAGAAAGACAATAAGTTATATATATATATGTTGTGTACAAGTTATCATTTTGTTCAAATTATAATTTGTACAAAAAAATTGTACAAAAATGTAATTTGTATTTTGACTTTGTACAAATTATATAATTTGTACAAAAAGTGCTTGTACACATTATAATTTGTACAAAATAAGGCTTAATTTCACTTATAACTTGTACAATATTTCACATAGAATAAGTTTCAAATCAAATGATAAAAAATAATTTTAATTTTAATTACGAATCAATATGAAACACAGTGATTACGTTAACTCTATTTACAATACTATACAATAATATACAATGCTCTTATTTGTTGGAGCAGGTGAGCGTACCATGACACCTTAAATTACACAATACATTCTGCTTTTTAGCTCACCTGGACCAAAGGGCCAAGTGAGCTTTTCTCATCACTTGGCGTCCGTCGTCCGTCGTCGTCGTCGTCGTCGTCGTCGTCCGTCGTCGTTCATCGTCGTTAACTTTTACAAAAATCTTCTCCTCTGAAACTACTAGGCCAAATTAAACCAAACTTGGCCACAATCATCATTGGGGTATCTAGTTTAAAAAATGTGTCCGGTATCCCGGCTAACCAACCAAGTTGGCCGCCATGGCTACAAATAGAACATAGGGGTAAAATGTTGATTTTGGCTTATATCTCTGAAACTCTGATCCATCGGATCATCAGTGATGGTGATACAAGGCTGAAAACACATTCGGTATATATAATTCGTCTAAATAACAGCCCAACAATATTAGATCTTTAAATTTGCGGTAGCAAATTTTTGTTCTTCCCTGGCCGGGATTCGAACTCATGCTACTGAGATATCGTGGCATCAAATCGCCTTGCACTATGCCCGGTGCACTAAACCACTCGACCACCTAGGCTCGACAAAAATCAAGCTTTCGGTGACCGTGTGTTACCTTTCCTCGTCATTTATAGGTTTCACAACAAGTTTTGATATGTCAGTACGTTTTCATTTCAAGATACATTGTTCACAGTTGGTTGTAAATATGTGTATTGCTTCCCTGCTTATATTAGCAAAATGTTTTTTGAGTTCTTTGTTAGTTTTATGGAGACATCCATGATCGACCCCAACATGTGCTGTTTTTATAATATCAGACATATCCTCAATGGATAAGTAGTAAAGTATGGTGTCATCTGAAAGTAAGAATTAAATCATTTTGAGTATGGCACAAATCTAAACTGGTATTTTGTTATAAAGATAATTATGTTATGAGCCCTAACAGCGATATGCTTGTTCAAATATTATAAATATAAGAAGATCTGTGAAATAGTTAAGCTCATATGGTCGTCTGTTTTGTGACCTAAAATTCTTTAAATAATACTTGTACACCCTTATTTACTGTGATTATATAGATTTACGATTTTAGGTTGATGTGCCATAGTGACTGCAATCTTTTGTATGCAATAATGCATAGTACGATTAATTTGATGGATCGTCATGAACATGCATGAAATATTTGCCACTGGACGTTAAGCAGCCAACAATCAATCAATCAATCAAAATTCCAGGATTTGGGATAGATTTTTGTTTACATTCGAGTTCAGACCCTCTTCTATATTTGTCATATAAAACAAAACAAAACTTACCATTTCCTCCTTTTTTGATGAGCTTTTCAATATCTGCAACTTCAATAACATCATATTTCTTTAGCAAATGTCTGTCTTGGTCACTTTTCTTCAATGCCTCTTTTGCATTTTTAACTTTAGAAATTAACTCATTCAATTTGTCCCTAGTATAAAGATGGTTGTGCTTAGATGTGTTATTCTCAGCAAATTGCTGAACTTCTTGATAGAATTTAACCTGTTGATCAACACTACTAGCCATTTTTTTTAACACCTTAATTTTTACTTTTGTTAATGGCCATGTGAAAGACCAGTGAACAGGATTTCAATTTATAACCTCAGGGCAATATAAATGAATCAATATGACTAAAAATAGCATTGACAAGTTTTTATAGTGGGTATCAACACTTTTTTATCACAATATCCATATGATAAATCATTGTATAAGTTATAAGTGAAATTAAGCCTTATTTTGTAAAATTGTAATTTGTACAGGCACTTTTTGTACAAATTATAATGTGTACAAAGTCAAAATACAAATTAAAATTTGTACAATGTTTTTGTACAAATTATAATTTGTACAAAATGATAACTTGTACACAACATATATATAGATCCATTTTGTTACATCTGGTAATCCGTTTATTTGGCAATCGCCAATGGCAGTCATCAGGGTTTAAGAACATCCGTAGTTCGACCTGCTAGTCAAATGCGTTTTGTTAAAATATACTTTTTCACTTTTTTGGTCTTTTGGAAAATGTTGTTTGTGTTATATTAAGACCCCTCTACCAAGAAATTTGTTTTGCTTGCACACATATAAAAATTGCGGTTTTATCCAACGCAATCATAGGTTTGAACGTTGTTTTCAATTTAGACTTCTGTATATATATATGCATAAAATAAGTACGTCTGAACCAGTGCCAACGTCAGATTTTATCCATCGGATCATCAGTGATGGTGATACAAGGCTGAAAACACATTCGGTATATATAATTCGTCTAAATAACAGCCCAACAATGTTAGATCTTTAAATTTGCGGAAGCAAATTTTTGTTCTTCCCTGGCCGGGATTCGAACTCATGCTACTGAGATATCGTGGCATCAAATCGCCTTGCACTATGCCCGGTGCACTAAACCACTCGACCACCTAGGCTCGACAAAAATCAAGCTTTCGGTGACCGTGTGTTACCTTTCCTCGTCATTTTTTTTATCTAGCATCGTAACACAGTACATGATATATAAGGCATGAACTAATTTGTTTAGCAAAATATAAAAAAATGTTTTTTACAGCGAACTTTCCTTTGTGCCCATTATACTTAGCTTCTGACATTTATTTTGTTAACTGTTATTGTGTATATGTAGTATACTTTCATGTATAATGATAAGCGTATATAAATACTTCGGTTATGATAATTTAGCGTTGTACACATTTTTCAGAAGTTTGAGATCAAACAATCTGACATTGATCAGGAAAGACACTTTCGAAAATCTTACTAACTTAAAATATCTGTAAGTACAAATATTCGCAATGATTTCATTATTTAGAGAATTGCTTATACATGTTATATTTGAAAAGTCTTATTTCAGACTGCATGATCCCATATTTCATCCGGAGAGGGACACCTTGTATCCCCTTACATGTAATGTACATTCTTAATCTCCCTGACGTATAATGTAGCTTGTGTTTTTCTCTTTAAAATGAACAATGGCCATCGTTTCTACAAATCACTTCTTAGCGAGATAAGATTTTATGGAATATTACATCTTAACATCTGTACTCAGATAATTCTACTTCAATGAAATTCTAATTATCACATAAAGTTTATGTAATGGTTTACATTCATATTGGGTACGGTAGTTCTATAAAAAGTTTCATATCAAATTAAAAATATCGTATCTATATCATCACTATTTCTATTAATAAAATTTTTACAACCGGAATATAGATATCCTTAGTTGGTATAGGATTTGTATAAGTATTTTATCAGAAATATATATAGGAGGGGACTATAATAACTCCGAATTTCAAATCGATCTTGTTATGTTATCAATAAGTTATACAATATTGTAACGAAAACCGAGCAGTCGTGCCTTAGTGTAATGCTATAAGAATATGTGTTTGTAATATCAGTCATAAAAAGGGAATAAAGTTTACATCCAGAAACTCTTTCCTTGGCGGCGTGGTACTCTGGAATTCTGTATACACCCTGGTATGGTAGCTGTAACGAAAACCGAGCGGTCGAGCCTTAGTGTAATGATATAAGAATATGTTTTTTTTGTAATATCAGTCATAAATAGGAATTAAAGTTTACATCCAGTAACTTTTCCTTTTGTTGCGTGGTACTCTGGAATTCCGTATACACCCCGGTGCGGTTGGTTCTTCTGGTAAGGTAATACTTTGGATATAAAGGGTAGATAAGGGCATGCGTTTTTGGCCCGTAAACATTTGTGGTTTTGTATGGTAACTCTCCGTTTCGATGTTCGAATGAATAACAGACTCGTTAAATAAAATCAACTGATATAACTTTAATATGCATTAAATATCAACAATACATATATAATTCAAATAACTTAAAAGTGACCAATTCAATAAATAAACATTTTATCAACCTTTTAGTTGCGAATTTAAGAAAACGGATAGCAGGAAAATATACCCAGAAAGTTTACTTATTATAGTTAAGAAATCGGCAAATGGTAAAACTCAATACCAAACGATTCGTTATAAAGTTTAACTTACGAAGTTATTTTCTAAGTGTAACCCGTAAAGAGATTAACAAACTCTCCTTATACAGACCAAGTCTCCTCGGACATTGTAATATATCGTCCCCCTTGTTACTACTTGGTCTGGTAACTGGTATCTATACTTATATTTAAATCGCTTGGAATTAGCGAGATTTACTTGCCGAGGGGAAAAACGTGCTGAAAACGATTTTGAATTATCGGCCGTATTAAACTCAAGTAAACCAATTTACTGATTTGGTTTACCATTTAGGAAATACCTAAATCACCGAAACCGGAACTGGTAATTACCAACATTGGTAAAACGTCAAACAGTTAAGATGTGCTCCAATGCAAAAACAAAGGCAAGGATAATAAAAGTTTTAGAATTAAAAATGTTTAAACACACTTATACAAGAAATATATAATAACAAAGGTCATTTATCGGTACGATTGAAACGACGTCATCACACAATTTTAGGAGAAACAAGTTCCATTTCAGGGAACCGACATTTCGTCACAATATTGAAACTTGTCATTCAAATCATTTGTGTGGTTTGAAATGCACGTGATAAAGTAAAACATACATTACTTTTACTTATTGTTATCATTTACTGTTACAATTGGTTGATAAAAACCACTCAGATTCACAATAACAAATATGATATGAATGGTTTCTTTATATTTTTGTGCATTTCAAGATTTATACCATTTTACTGTTTAATGCACTCTGCCATCACTGTTTTGACGTTGGTGTTACATTTCTCCCGAAAATATAACGGCTGATGCAAACGTAAGAGACGGCAAATTTTCTATATTAGTAAATTATTCAGTTTAAGATTACTTCAAGTACTTTCGATTATTCTTTGATTCGCTTTGATAGAGATTACTTAAAGTAAATAATGCAGACTTTTTATGAGTCTGTTTGACTGGTGAAAAACAACCGTATGTGATTATATTTTTTAATTGTTGTACGTGTGTATGGTAAAGTGTTTGATTATCATAGTTGAGGTGGTAAAAAGATTAGGTAATGGACAGGAGTATATAAAAAGCATCATTCAAAATCGAAAAAATACATAAACAGTTAAAAGTTAAAAAACTAAAATACCGAACTCCAAGGGAAATTCAAAACGGAAAGTTCATTATCAAATGGGAAAATCCAACGTTCAAACACATCAAACGAATGGAAAACAACTGTCGTATTCCTAACTTGGTACAGGCATTTCCTTATGTAGAAAATGGTACATTAAACCTGGTTTTATAGCTAGCTAAACCTCTCACTTGTATGACAGTATAAAACTCTATTATATTGACAACAATTTGTGAACAAACAAACAGACACATAGACACAATGACAAAAATAGTACGGCAGTCAACACAGCGTTATAATCTTAATCATTATAAACGTAAACAAAATATCCACGACGAAAAACAAAATGGCATATATACAAAGAACATAAGACAAAAATAAAAGACAAGATTACAAAATTAATCATTGTCCAATAACACAATGGCGGGATGTATAAGTACCGAGCCACGTCAAAAGGATATTACCAAAAATGTACTAAATAGTAAAGGTTAATAATGTAGATATACAAATAAAAGAACAATTAACCTTTTGATTATTTCGGTTTCCAATTCTGTTCCTAATTGGCATCGTAAAAGACAACAACATATAACTAAGCTGGGACTTAAATATCTGTCAAACCATTTCCTCTAATAATTTTAATGTATTCCAGAAGGAAAAAAATCTGCTCTTATATACAAATAAGAAGATATGAGTGCTAATGAGACAACTCTCCATCCTTGTCATTATGTGTAAAAAGTAAACAATTGTAGGTCAAAGTACGGCCTTCAACACTGAACCTTGGCTCACACCGAACAGCAAGCTATAAAGGGCCCCTGATTATGAATGATCTGCTGATCCTTCCGGAACACCTGAGACCATTCCCAGTTTTTGGTGGGGTTTGTGTTGCCAAGTCTTTGGTTTTCTATGTTGTTTAGTGTATTGTTGTTTGTCTGTTTCTATTTTTCTTTTTTTGACCAGGGCGTTGTCAGTTTGTAATCGATTTATGAGTTTGAATGTCACTTTGGTTATATTTGCCTCTCTTTAAAATATATCATTAGTGATCCTATGTGCTTATCATTAATCTGTTTTCATATTTTGAATCTCAAGTATCACTTTCATTATGATTTGATAACGGCCTTGGTACAGTTGGAACAACCAAAGATCTCTCTCTGTGTTGAGTATATATAGACTCCTAGGGACTAAAAACATGTGTTTGGCAAAGGGTACAACTAAATCAAGTAAAAAACGATACATTTGACTTTATTATCTACTAAAAAAAGGAGTAAATACAAATCCATGTGCATTCTACTATGTTTAAATAAGTAGACGACTGTTACAATGCAAGATAGACAATGACTGATGGATTCGGACGTAATAATCATTCATTCGTAATGATAAAACAATCATTTGCGAAACATTTTGCTTTCATGAATACTATTAAGTTATCCCATACATTACGATACGAGACAATTTGTCAATGTAGTTTGTTTGAACATCGTTAAACTGCTGTTGTTAATATTTAGCAAGATAATTATTGACATATCAATGATAATAAACAATTTACTTCATGTAAAATATATGTAACATCACCATTGTTTTGTTTCAGGTATTTATACAGCAATCAAATAACTACAATAGAGCTAGGAGCATTTCAAGACCTTCCAGCGCTTAGCCGTCTGTATGTTTACATTTTAAAAATATTTCATCAAGAAGAAAATGAAAACTGATTCTAAAAAATGCATTGTCAAACGTGGTTTACTATTATCAATGATAACGATACATGGAGTTCTGCCGTCCTCAAACGTACCGACTGTTTCCCCAGTTGGTTAGCCTAGCTATGTAACATGTATTAATAAGCGAGAATGCCAAACCAAATTTCGAATCTCAAACCGTAGGAACAAAAATAAGACACATGCTACTAAATTTGAGATTTTCCATAGCATGCATAGATCGTCGACAAAACCATAAAACCTAAGCAACTACAAAACATGACATAGCATATAAACATATCACAGACACGGGTTTTGTACGACAGAGGCGCGTTTTGTCTAAATATAACACATTTGACACTCGAATTAAAAATGTTTAAAAGGGCCTAATAATGTACGAAGTTGAAGTACACTGACGACCAGATTTTCCAAAAGGGATACAAATAAAGCTTAGGTAATCTATTACTTATGTAGAAAATCATTAGTTTTTCAAAAAAATCAAAGGTTTTGTAAACAGTCAATTTATAATTATGAACATAAAAACAATAGTGCATGTCAACACAAAATTGCTGAGTAGTAAGCTGATGATACAATAGGAGGGAAACCTCCATCAGATGTGTCATCGACCAAGTGGTAGCAAAAAAATACTTAACAACTCTTAGATGCATGATTTTTTTTATTAGTTGTTATTGGCTTTGAACTAGCTGTCAGTAATTGCGAATACTCTCAGATCTGTACTTAGTGTCTTTTTGTTGTTGGGATGTACAAGTACCCGGTCATGTCCATTCTGTGTTTCTGTTGGATGTATTTCTATTTGTATCCATCTGATGCCTTTTCAACTGATTTTTATAGTTTGTTCTTATGTTGTACTGTTTCACCACTGTCCCAGGTTAGGGGGAGGGTTGGGCGCCCGCTAACATGTTTAACCCCGCCACATTCTGTATGTGCCTGTCCCTAGTCAGGAGCCTGTAATTCAGTGGTTGTCGTTTGTTCTTGTG